GTGTGTGTGTGTGTGTGTGTGTGTGTGTGTGTGTGTGTGTGTGTGTTCAGGGCAGTTTTGTCCACTGACTTTGATTGGTTTTCAAATTAACCAGTTGTTATGTGCTCAGCATAGTAACAAGCACTTGGTTAGTTTCTGGACGGGGGTGGGGGGTGGAAATCATATTCAGAGACAGTGAAAGGATGAATCCTCAGAGTGAATGAACGACTGAGAATCAGTGTTGCTACAATGTTGCGTCATTAGTGAAGAACTGCACGGAGCCAAAAGAAAACAAATCATCCATGTCCTTGATCCAGATTTGTGCCAGAACTGTGTTTCTGGTTAATTTCCCCTCCGCCACTCAATATTTTTCTTCATTCATGTGTATGGGAGTTTTTAAAAAGGGTAGAGTTTAAGTTATTGAGTCATAAGTTAGCAATTCATGTTTTTTTGCCATTGATTGAAAGCAGTTTGATTACAATAAACACTTATTTTCTTGTTAATTGAAAAGAACTGGTGTGTACATTCATTTAATCTGAATTAGACAGTTAATAGAATTGGACAATTCAAAGTTTAAATCAAATTTTCACATCTGGGACAACTCCAGGAATTGTGGAGCCCGATTTCCAGTGCATTACCCTGGTGGGGTATGACATTTGAAATATACTATATTTATGGCACTTTATAAACACAAATGGTTATTAATCATGGGATGTAGGTGTCACTGGCTAGGCCAGCATTCATTGCCTATCCAGAGAAGTAGTGGTGAGCTGCCTTCAATAAATACTGCTGGCTATTTGATGTAGAAAGGCCCGTAATGTCATTGAGAGGGAGTTCCAAAACTTTGACCCAACGACAGTGAAAAATGGCAAGTCAGGATGGTGAGAATATTCAAGAACAAATCATCAAAACCTGAGCAAATGTAACTCAAAACTGTTGACAATGAACATCACTGGCAAGCTACCAGATTTTTCCTCATTCTACAAGAGCTAAACAAAAACTTCTATAAGAATTGAATTAGCCATAATCTGCTGTTGCAGCACCTCAAGTTCAATTGTCTTAGCATCTACGTCACTTCCAAATACACACTGAAGAGGCAGTTAAGAATTGTTTACAATTCTATTCTGTAAGGAGCTTAGAGAAATGAACATGCATGAATGTGCTAAGGACGACACATTTAACTACTTTCCACAAAGCAGACTTCCCTGCCAGGAACGTTTTGTTTGGGATATCACAATACTTCTGTTGTTTAAATTCACTGTTGAACAAATATTACTGGGATCGCACATATTTCACAATATAGAATTTGACACACCAAAGTTGTAACTCGAGCAAGCTGTCAAAAATATCAAGTTGAATCTGCTTTTTAGGCTACAAACTGAGACATAAAAGTGGAGGCCAAACTTTCACTGTACACTGAATAAATTTTGCGAGATTCCCATCAGCATTTGCTTCTGTAAACACGGTAAAACAATGAAAATATCTATGACCCATTTTTGTTACCAGGTGTTGGCATTATGCACTCCTAATTTAGTTACAGCTTTGTACAGATAATAGGTAGCTCCATCTACCTTATCTCAATGTGTTGTAAGCTTCAGTGCATTTTCTGCAAAACTTATTAATATTTCTTAATGTCATTAAAACTTAATATTGATAACAACATTAAAGTCTTAAAACTCATTAAATGCAAAGTGCTGCAGATGCTGGCAGTCTGGAGAAACTGGCAGCATCTGAAGAGAGAAAAACAGTTAATATTGAGGCCTGAATGACTTTTTTTTCAAACATTTAACATGCGCAGTTGCTATGATTTAAAAACAATATCCAATTCAAACATTTGATACATTGGGCAAAAATCAGATTGTAACTGTGGGAAAGACAAAGAAACAAAACATAAATGCAATGGGAATTTACAGGGTAACCGGCCCTTTACATCACGTGTACCAACATAAACACAGAAAGAGAATTGTAAGGATAGGCAACACGTCACCTTGGTGGCAGAGTAGAGAGTCAGTAAAGGTACAGGATAGAGTGCAGTAGCTGATGACACATTGAGGATGATGCCTTTTGACCTGTTAAAAATACGCACAATACAATTAACCACTGGAATAAACAAGGATGATTTTTATACCGAACATTCAAGGTAACATTATAAACATAAAAAGTTTAACCCTTAAGTTGCTATAATAGAAGCTCTGAAATAAATCATTAAAAGGATTATTTCATGTGCATAATGGAAAGATTTTGCAATAGTTATACAACCACCTTCATGCTGACGGCAAAGTTGTGAGCAATAAGACAGTAGCTATGATATGCTCAGTGCACTGAAACCATGAGGTGTGACTCTCTTCAACAAGTTAGTTCACACTATTTTGAATTTACGATGAGTGAACCATAACTGCATGCATATAACCTGACTTCAGAAATCAAAGCTAATGAAAAGTGTGGATACTGCACTGCTATTTAATAGGAAGTGGACTTTTGGATATTTATCCAACTATCTATTACACAATTAACCATAATCTCAAGGAGAAAAGGTGCACAGAAAATTTCTCAGATGAAACAAATGCAAATTTATATTCGAGAAAACAGATTTCTGCTCAAGTGAATCTACTAACACGTGATCAGAAAACAATTTCAGAATAGATATTTGGCAATACAATGCATACTTATTTACAGTCTGAAGCTCTGGACATGGTAAAAATGTGTAATTGAGACACCATATTTGAGATTTTGAAGTGAAATGACAGGCAAAATATTCAAGAAGTAGTTAGGTTTGAAAACATTTGCCCAATGTTTGATTGATTGATTGGACCGTTTAGCCTGAACTAAAATGCTATTTTCTGGATTACAAGTAAAAGAATATCCTTCTAAAAGGAACACAGACTCATGGAAAGCTATACTGACTCCCCATTACAAATCAAAGATCAAGACTACACAGAGAATCCAATGTAGGGGAAACAAAAATGGCAGAATTGCAGCACTATTTTCACCTCAGTTCTCTCTCAAGACCAAGTACTTGTAACAGTTTATATACTTCTTTCAGTAATCAGACTACACCTGTGGCCTTCCTGATCCCGTGTGATACTCGTGCATTTCTTACCCATGTATATGTACATTACACAAAGGTATTTACAAGGTACATGTCATGTTCCTCAGTCAGTGCACCTGACAGTAAACATGTCGATATACCCACAGCTTTCCTCCTTTCATACGGAGCACTTGGGTTTATGCCAGGGTCTCAAATGACAATTCAGAATCCATAACGGAATGCATGTGATCCTTGCTTTCAAGTCAGTTGCAGTATAGCTAGATTGGCAGAATTTTTTTTAAACATAGGATCAAGAGATCATTTCCTATTTAAGGTGCTGAATAGTAATAAACATCACTTAAATGTCTGTTAATTACCTTTGCCTCATGATCACCAGATACAATGATGCAGCTGCAAGGAAATGATGGTACTCCCCATGTGTTTACAAAATTATTTACTTTCCGCAAAAAGCTAATTAAGGGCTCTAATGAACACAAACATTCATTGAGACAAAAAGAAAAAAGGTGCATTCCAGGCAAAACATTTGAAGGTGAATCTCAAATCTATCTATTGATGTTTGTAAAAGATCATAGTTTTTAAATTGATCTACAATGTAATGTAGCATTACTGGAAAATTAACTAGGGTTCCACCCGCAACCAAGTGACATCCAGAGAACTATAAACCGCAGTCTTGTAAATCTTATTCACTAGTGACATTAACGGTTTACAATGACTTCCTAAAAAAAATGCAAGTCCATACTTTGTAGTGAAACACTTAAAATTTCATACCAACGAACAGATAGAATTATTGCACAGTGCTAATTCTACTAGGCCTCCAAGTGTCCAACTTTTAACATCCATAACACTGGGCTGTTTTGTATAGATTAACAATCCATATTTAAGACTTGTCTGCAAACCAGAGCAGCTTTCCTTATGTAGGACTGTACTAGGAAGCTACTAAAAAAAGCAAGGAAAAAGAAAAGAAAAGAAATGTTGTTAAAAAGCTTGATGCATGTCCCCCTTTCCACAGCACGAGGTTGCTGCCAGTTGTGATTGTCTCCCATTCTCAGCATTCCTCTGCTTCTGGGACTGGTCACTGGACAGCTGGCAGAGAAGCGGGCAACTCCGATTTAACTGCTGACAATGCACAAGGAGCCTCAGGAACTATGACAGGCACCAGCAGCTCACCCAATTTATTCAAAACAATTTGGCTACTCACGTATAGGTACATTTTAGGTCTCCTGGTTGATGGGTGGGTTCTGTGATGTTTATAGGCTTGAAATAGCCTGTGACCAACGTTTACACTTTTATCTTTGACCCTGCAATGCCTCAGGCTGAGGAAAGGAAGACAGACTTTGATGACAATTTCAGGAGCAATGATGTAAGGACATGGAAGTTTTAAATTGTTTACATTAGGTTGGAAAACCTTAAAATCAGACAAGATGCAGAACAGCAAAATATGTGACCTTTTAACCTATGAAAGACATCATAAGTGATGAATGTGTGAGCCAACAATTAATGTGGTTCTCACATTTGTGGAATAAATCTGAAGTTTCTTTTAGTTGTGGAGTCTCAGGAGTTCAGCTTCTTTCACACAGGGCCAATACATCATTTTTAAATGACCAGTGAATAAAAAGCTCTGTATTCACTTATTTCAGTGCTGTTTATGGCTGGTGAGGTTATCCCTGGGAAACACCACTGCAACTGCCTTTAAAAATGTCAAAAACCTACTGCAGAAAACTAGGTTGTGCTAGACTGATGACTCATTCTTTTTTTGAGTGTGTTCACCTACAGAAAGAAATAGCCACAGTATCAAAAGGGAAGACTTCCTTGAGCCTATGAATCATTCTCTATGATACATATATTGTTACTCAATCATTTAAACAGGGCGACAAGGTTCATTAGTCATTCTAAATGAATTCTTGAAGGAAGGGATTCTCCCTTATAAATAATAATGACTTGAGTGACTCACCGCTTCACCATCGCAGGCAATACCATCTTAGTCATCTGCAGGAGAAAAATAAGTGAAATATCAAAAGAAAATTCAAAAGAAATTGTAAACCTAATCTAAGAATTGTGTTGTACCCTAAAATTTATCAAAAGAAATAAAACCAAAATATGACAGGTCTTCACATGAGTCTGTAGCATAAATATTTTCTTTTAGCATAATCCTCTTTGAAAAACTCCTACACATACAAGCTAGAAAAATCTTGTATGAGCATCACAAACAGCGTCCCCTCCCTGTTTAAGCTGCAAAACAAGGGTGGTACAGTTTCTTTACAGTAAGTGAATAGCAGGCATCAGGTAGAGTAGTTATACCAGAACAGGCTGCAAAGGGTTCTGAAAAGCTTCGCCAAACATCCACAAGGACATGCAGCACAGTGGCTCAGTGCTTACCAAAGCTGCCTTGCAGCGCCAGGGACTCAGATTTGATTCTAGCATCGGGCAACTGTCTGCGTCAAGTTGGCACATTCTCCCACGTTTGCGTGGGCTCCCTCCAGGTCCTCCTGCTCCCTCCCACAGTCCAAAGATGTGCCATTAGGAAGACTGGCCATGCTAAATTGCCCAGGGTCCAGGGCTGTGCAGGCTAGGTGGGTTAGCCATGGGAAATGCAGGGTTACAGGGCTAGAGTCGGGGGTGGGTCTGGGTTGGATGCTCTTCTGAGGGTCAGTGTGGACTCGATGGGCCAAATGGCCTGTTTCCACACTGTAGGGATTCTACGATTCTATGATTTAATTGGACCAGAAATTTACTGATGGTTATGTTAACCTTACTGCCTTCTTTCCAGCCACATGCCAGCTCTCTGGCACCTCCTCCTTTCGCCCCCTTGATCGTGACCCCACCCCCAACCACCAAATCATCATCTCCCAGACCATCCACAACCTCATCACTTCAGGTGACCTCCCACCCACAGCCTCCAACCTCCGTTTCCCAACCCCACACCGCCTGTTTCTATCTCCTTCCCAAAATCCACAAACCTGACTGCCCTGGTCGACCCATTGTCTCCACCTGCTCCTGCCCCACTGAACTCATCTCGACTCCATTTTCTCCCCCTTGGTCCAGGAACTCCCCACCTATGTCCATGACACCACCCACACCCTCCACCGCCTCCAAAACTTCCGATTCCCTGGTCCCCAACACCATATCTTTACCACGGACGTCCAGTCCCTATACACTTGCATTCCCCATGCAGATTGCCTAAAGGCCCTCTGCTTCTTCCTGTCCCGCAGGCCAAACTAGTCCCCCTCCACTGACACCCATATCCACTTAGCTGAACTCGTCCTCACCCTTAACAACTTCTCCTTCAATTCCTCCCACTTCCTACAGACAAAGGGGGTGGCCATGGGTTCCCGCATGGGCCCAAGCTATGCCCGCCTCTTTGTAGGATACGTGGAACAATCCCTCTTCCAAAGCTACACTGGCCCTATCCCCCACCTCTTCCTCCGTTACATCGATGACTGTATCGGCGCCGCCTTGTGCTCCCACAGGAGCTCGAACAGTTCATCCATGTTACTAACACCTTCCACCCCAACCTTAAGTTCACCTGGACCTCTGTTTCCATCTCTGGCAACCACCTGGAAACCGATATTCATTTCAAGCCCACCGACTCCCACAGCTACCTAGAATACACCAGTTCTCTCCCACCTTCCTGCAAAAATGCCATCCCCTATTCCCAATTCTTTCGCCTCCACCACATCTGCTCCCAAGATGAGGCATTCCACTCCCGGACATCCCAGATGTCCTCGTTTCTCAAGGACCGCAACTTCCCCTCCACAGTGGTCGAAAACACCCTCGACCACGTCTCTCACATTTCCCACAACTCATCCCTCACACCCCCTCCCCGCAATAACAACCAAAACAGAATCCCCCTCGTCCTCACGTACCACCCCACCAATCTCTGGATCCAACGCATCATCCTCCGGCACTTCTGCCATCTGCAATCAGACCCCACCACCAAAGACATTTTTCCCTCCCCACCCTTATTTGCCTCTCTCCGTGACTCCCTTGTCCGCTCCACACTCCCCACCAGCCCTGGCACTTTTCCCTGCAACCGCAGGAAGTGCTACACCTGCCCCTACACCATCCCCCTCACCCCCATCCCAGGCCCCAAGAAAACATTCTACTTCCAACAGATGTTCACCTGCACATCTGCTAATATGGTATTCTGTATCTGCTGTTCCCAATGTGGCCTCCTCTATATCGGAGAAACCAAGAGGAGGCTTGGAGACTGCTTTGTAGAACGCCTACGCTAAGTTCGCGACAAACAACTGCATCTCCCAGTTGCGAACCACTTCAACTCTCCCTCCCACTCCTTGGATGACATGTCCATCCTGGGCCTCCTCCAATGCCACAATGATGCCACCCGAAGGTTGCAGGAACAGCAACTCATATTTCACTTGGGAACCCTGAAGCCCAACGGTATCAATGTGGACTTCACAAGCTTCAAAATCTCCCCTCCCCCAACTGCATCCCAAAACCAGCCCAGCTCGTCCCCGCCTCCCTAACCTGTCCACTCCTCCCACCTCAAGCCCCACCCCCCACCTCCTACCTACCAGCCTCATCCCCACCTCCTTGACCTGTCTGTCTTCCCTAGACTGACCAACCCCCATCCTAATTCCCCACCTACACTCACCTTTACTGGCTCCATTCCCGCCTCTTTGACCTGTCCGTCTCCTCTCCACCTATCTGCTCCTTTATCCATCTTCCATCCGCTTCCCCCTCTCTCCCTATTTATTTCAGAATTCCCTTCCCCTCTCCCATTTCTGAAGAAGGGTCCAGACCTTATGTCAAAGATAAGTGATAACTGAAGACCAGCTGCTTCCAATCAGGCTTTGAAACAACAATCAAAAGGCAAATAGGGACTAGGCCCGAAACATCAGCTTTCCTGCTCCTCTGATGCTGCTTGGCCTGCTGTGTTCATCCAGCTCTACACCTGGTTATCTCTGCCTTCTTTTCAAATGATACAGGACCCAGATGAGGAAAGATCAATAAACACCTGAAAAGAACACTAGTCCTGAAAATGAACAGGAGAAGCTTCAGTACGATCAGGGGCATCAACACAATTCTCTGCTACTGACAGCGAGCTCCATCCTTCCCACTGAACAACCACAATAACCCCCTACATGCATCACCCACCTCAATCTCACCTACCCCTCCCCCCAGACCCACCCCCCTCCCTCTATCCATTTCTGGGCTCTCCTCCCCCTCCCCAGCCCTGACAAAGGGTTTCGGCCCAAAACGTCAATTTTCCTGCTCCTCGGATACTGTCTGACCTGCTGTGCTTTTCCAGCTCCACATTTAATAATGCAACTGAATGTTGGAATACTATTGAGGGAGGGGAGAGTGGATCCAAGTCTAGTGTCTTCACCTTAAATAAAGTTAACTTTGAGGGCATGAAGACAGAGCCAGCTAAAGTCAACTGGGAAATTGGTTTACAGGTTAGGAATCATGGGATCTATCCCAGATTACTGTGAGAGGCAAGGGAAGAAATACCTGGGGCATTAGTGGACATCCTCACATCCTCTTCAATCACAGCGAGGTTCCAGAGGACTGGAGATTAGCCAATGTTGCTCTTTTGTTTAAGGAAGGAAGCAGGGACAATCCAGGAAATTACGGGCTGGTGAGTTGTGATGGGGAAGATCTTGGAGAAGATACTGAGGGACAAGGTATATGCACATTTGGAAGAAAATGGACTAGTTAGTGACAGGCAGCATGGTTTTGTACAGGGAAGATCATGTCTCACCAACCCAATTTTTTTTGAAGCGGTGACAAAGATAATTGATGAGGGAAAGGCTGCGGATGTAGTTTATATGGACTATAGTAAGGCATTTGATAAAGTCCCACATGGAAGATTGGTACAAAAACTAAAATCGCATGGGATTCTGGGTGGCTGGCTGGATGGATGGATACAAAACTGGCTTGGTCACAGAAGACAGAGGGTAGCGGTGGAAGGGTGTTTTTCCAGAATGGAGACCAGTAACTAGTGATGTTCCACAGGGATCAGTCTTAAGTCCTCTGTTGTTTGTAGTATACATAAACGATGTGGAGAAAATGTGGGTGGTCTTATTAGTAAGTCTGCAGATGACATGAATATTGATGGAGTTGTTAATAGCGCTGATGATAGTCAAGGGATACAACAGAATATAGGTAGATGTGTGACTTGGGCGCAGAAATAGCAGATGAAGTTTAATGGAGAAATGAGAGGTGACGCATTTTGGAGGATCAAATTTTGGTGTGAATTATATTGTAAGTGGCAGAACCCTTAGGAATATTAACACAGATGTGGGCATGCTGGTCCAAAGTTCCCTAAAAGTGGCAACACAGGTGGCCAAGGTGATTAAGAACGTGTATAGCATGCTTGCCTTCATTGGCTGGGGCATGGAGTACAAGAGTTGGTAAACCATGTTGCAGCTATATAAAACCCTTGAGCTGCATTTGGAGTATGGTGTGCAGTTTTGGTCACCAGATTACCAGAAGTACGTGGAAGCTTTGGAGAGAGTGCAGAGAAGGTTCACCAGGATGTTGCCTGGTCTCAACATCATTGGCTAGGAGGAAAGGTTAAAAAGACTTGGATTGTTTTCACTGGAAAGTGGTGGCTCAGAGGAGACCTGATAGAGGTCTACAAAATTGAGGGAGGTATAGATAGGGTGGATAGTCAGAGGCTTTTTCCCAGGGAGAACAGGATCAAGGTGAGAGGGAGAAAGTTTAAGGTGATGTGTGAGGGAAGCTTTTCATGCAGAGAGTGGTAGGAGCCTGGAATGCACTGCCAGAAGGAGTGCTGGTATCAGGCACATTGGCGTCATTTCAGAGGCATCTGGATGATTACATGTATAGGAAGGAATAAAGTGATATGGGCCAAATAAGAACAGGTGGTTTGTTTTTTTAGTTTAATGAGGGCATGATAATCAGTACAGGCTTGGCGGGCCAAAGGGTGTGTTCCTGTGCTGTACTTCTCTTTTGTTCTTTGAATCAAGAAACTAGCATACAAGTTCCCTGGGTAATAGGGA